AGGTTAGTCACTAATGAGGTCACTTCGCACCTCGACGCGAAGCAATGTCATTCGAGACTAACGTCCCACACCCGTCTCCCCGATTTGCGCATTAGAAGTACGGTGAAATTACAACGATTAACAAAAATATCAACGCTAAACATAGTGCAACACTTTTCAGATTCCTGGATTTCTAAGACGCCACTCGTTGTGGCCCTACTTATTCGCAATACATGTCTCGTAGAGGATACTGGTTTCATAGTAGCAGTGATCGCTGAACGTGTGTTTGCCTCGTTCTTCATTGCTGACTATGAAATGAAGCATCGATTATGGATATGGCGAGGCATAGTTTCATTTATTATGGTGACATCCCTCACTATTTCGTGTTTGTCAGCGCTACCAGGTTTGTAAGGCTTTTTCACAATACAGTTGCTGTAGTTCATAAATATGTACCTGAGGTGTGAAGTAAAAGGAAATATGAGCCCTACAGACTTGGGTCTAGACGCCCCATAGCGACAGTATACTCGATATCAAGTCGCATTAAAAAAATTAAGCAACCAATAGGTTGAAAATCGAGCTTGATTGAGTTCTGTTGGACCATTAATCTTTCACAAATTAAAAATGAAGGGCCGCGATATGAATAGCCGAGATCGAAAGCGAACTAGTTTAGACGAGCTGTCCCATACCGTACGCCTTGGAGGCGTTAATGGGCACCAGAGAGCTACACTTGTATGAAAGCTCAACAAATCGTATTTTAGATCAACATTTTCAGGCGTATTTCTCTATTCAATTATCTACTGCTGTGTGACGATTCCAATCTCTCTGATTTCATCGGCGTGCCTTTTACATCGGAATCGTGCCAAGCTCCAGCGCTTGAGCAAAGAACCCCTCGGCGATTGTATCCACTACACTCTAAGTAAAAAATTCCAACTAATTGAGAATATACGAACACTGAAGGTAAGCAATAATGTGGCAAGATTTCACCTTACTCTTGCGAACACTAACGGGGAACTTCAAGAGAGTGTTGTAGTAATCGCTGGGACGTACGAAATAAAAGCCGAGAGAGTAAAAGGAAAAGCTAATAGAAGCAAAAGGTTAGCACATGAATGTTTCCAGCTGGGGTCACTTGTTAACAAAGTGAGTGACAGTTGCAATGCAAAGTAAAAATGGATAAATACTAAAAATCTCATTCCAAGGAATTTGAATAAAGTAGCCATCAGCAACTCACATTCAGAACGATGACATTCACAAGTAGGACTGAAATCAACTTTGATGATTTCAGCCTGCTGAGTGAATTACGGACTTCAAGATGGAAACTATTCACTGACAATGGAGGGAAAATTACTAATCGTCGATCACCCTTTGAACATAACAGTCGGTACGGTCGGTGCCAGTGAAAAAAAAAATTGAAGCGAAGCACTACAGCTCGGAAGAACCGTAAAAATACTTCATAAAAAATGGGGTAGAATTTCGCAGGACGTTAAAGTGAAAGTGTGATCAAGCGTAAGAATGTACATAAAGAATAACTGCATAACCCTAACCGCGCTCTTCGAGAAATGGTTAAATATTGCTGTGAATAATGGTGAATTTTGAAAAACCTGGCAAAAAACGGTACTAATGATCTGTTATAATAAGTGTTACCAACCTGCACTTCAGCAATAGTGACAGCAATAAAGAACACCCCCACAAACTTCAAGGTTCCTCACCCTCTAAGGACAGCTTGGTTAGAAGCATCTGTCAGGAAATGAAAGATGTTGGCATGACGATAGCTTTTCAACGCGGCTGGTAAGCTCAAACAAACTTTAAATCCACCTAGGATGTAGTGAACGAAGAGTGAACTTCGAGATAATTCTATTGCTCTTTTTTCAGATGGTTATAGCCATTTCATTAGTAATGGCAGCACATGCTGTAATCGCATTGGGATTGATGACAATGGCGCTCACTCTATTTAGAAATGAACCAGAGAAGGGACATCTTTGCTTTGCCGTTTTGGACCTTCTTAATGCTATGTAAGGAATTTATTTTTAATGTGATGTTATAATTGATTCCGATTGGAAACGAAACAACTGGCTTGTTGTCACCGCGCTTGAAGGAAAGCACTAACCTCTAGTCATTCCATTCACATACAATAGAAGAGAGTTAGCTTCCGGTAAGATGGCTCGGTTAAAAAGCAATTATCGATAAAGTATTCGAAAAGCAGCCTTATACTTCTTTACAAGAGTGTTTCGATATATTGTGGTAAATTTTTGTGGTTTTATAGTCTGCGATATGCAAATGGCTATCGCTACTAGTCGCGAACAATGAAAGTCTCTTGAAACGCGCAACAAATCGGTAAGCGAAAATATGGTGCCCTTTCTTCGATTAGGGTCCAAGTTAGGGTGCTAACACACATTTCGAAAGAAACACAAAAAATAATTAGTGGGGCTCCTCATCAGGGAGTTACCCGATTTATACCCACTTCCCCCTCTATTTCGCGATTCAACGCATGAAGTCAAGGTAAGAAGACTCACAAAAAGATGCTTTAGCGATTCAACGAATCAAAGAAAAACTAAAAAATCAAAGCAAATGACTAAAGAACATTATTCCGAGTACCTTTTTCAGTTCGATGCTGATCGAAGCTACGGTCGGCTGCGTTGTGCTTGGTGAATGGCGTCGAATAGCAGGAAAATTTTATCGGCAACAATCTCCTATTTTATGTTGCGGTTCATCCATTACTCCAAATTTCAATGGCATCCTAGAACGGCAGGATATTACCCAAGTATACTTCAAACAGTTAAGGCAAGCATGGGAAACATGACATATGGAAGTACGGTGTGAGACGGTGCCAATCGTTTAGTGCGAGAATAATATTACACTGATATTCAGTTAAAATCACAAGGAAATTTTAGTTAGGAAAGTGTACATAGCGGTAACCCACAGGCTGACACCGCCCAGTTCAGTTCATAGCACCAATGAAGTCTCGTCGCCCAAATGGGTCAATGGATGGTTCCCTACCTCAACGCTCCTGAGCCACATTTTTTACAATTAAGTAACTTTCTTTGAAAAACGATAGATGGCGATACCCGGCTGGTTGAAGCCCACCTCGCTGTCGGCGTCATGCCTAGCTGGCGTCTATCAATACGTATGCGCTTGATTGGGCGCCGCTTGGCGGTCTGCCAACTATAGTCGCTACCTATTAAGTGCGTCAAGGCCTAGGACTATGGGAGTTATTCTTTCAGAGAAGTCTGGCAATCACCGAAAAGGGCAACTGGAGGATTCAAATGGACTCGCCCTAGTTTAAGAGTAGTATCCTGTCNAGGTCATGCGCCGTAATTAGTATGCGACCTATCGAATTGTGTTTTGTTTAGATCTCATTTGCTTTGTCTTCCACGAAGCCGAATAAAAGTTTTCTTCAGTATTCTGTGAGTTTGTTTGCCATTTTTACGTAATTAGAAGTCCTACAAGATTAACCAGTCAATGGTAGAACCTCGGCCTCTAACGGGGTCGAACCCTTGGTTGTGTCTGGGCACCGTGCGTGCTCTTTATCACTACAGAAGTCCAAACACAATATATATTCAGAGGAGTAAGTTGCATATCACCTTTATAGAGCAAACTCATGTAGGTTTTGGCCCACCTAGGAGTGTTGTGGTGAGACAAATAATAGATAATATGATATACAAATACTATAGCTAACAGTTTCAATTCACTTGAAAACATCCCAGAAGTCGAACTACGCTCCCGCAAAAAACCTTGGGAAGTGATCTTAACGAAACAGCCGTTCATCGCGTACCGTGTGAGTATGCAGTCTGCACATTGTGCCCGGCGCCAAAATTTTTGTTTGAACGCCGTGACGAGCAACGTTGCGATTCTTGGTGAGCGGATTCGTCCTCATCGAATGGTGATCAACATTCACATAACCCCACGTGAGCGTGAACGACTAATTCGGGAGGAGCGACAGCGAAGGAGAGTTGCAAGGATTCTGCAGGTACATGAAGAATTCATTTCATTCTAGCAAATTTGAGATTCCAAGAAATGGAAAGAATAAATGACGGAAAACTCGTGTGGTGTTCAGTAATATTGAGTAAGTTTGACAATTACAAAGTAGTACAACGTTTATACTCCAATCTCATTCAAAAGATACACGACTACTATGTGAAGAGAAAGAATATGTTATAGTGTCAAACATCATCAACAATTTTTACTGATAGCCTTGAAACAGAGATAGTAGAGATACTATCAGGGGATTTTGGCATAGATGGTCGGTCTAGAGAAATGAGTTAATCTAAAAATAATCACTAGTGCCTGAGACCATGTTTCAGTGAGGTCGTCTTTTTAGTCTCACGGTGTAAAATTTCGGAACCACTCTTGCTTCCGAGGTCACAGTGAAGTTTTCCGATGCCAGAGTACTCACACCATAAATTTCAGTGTTAGTACTCTTTCGAAGGGTATCTACTATCAAGAATCTGCTTTAACCATAGGGTGCATTGTGACTAGCATACATCAGCTCTCAACTGAGTTCTACTGGGACAGGTCTAGATAATAGACCAACAAACCAAACTTAGAAAACTGTCTCGTTAATCTAGCATCTATTTCATTTCATGTTCGTCAACAAGCCAGCGAACAAGCTCAACTGATTCGACAAAATCTAAGGAAGGAGAAGGAAAACAAAGTCGAGGAACTGCGGTACGTTTGTGAAAGTCTTTTATCCAGATTCCGAAGTGTATAAGAGGAATTCTTAAGAACTAGAAGGACCCGTTTCATATGCATTTTGTCTCTTCGGGAAAGGGAGCACCGAGATCGCTTCCGAGCATATGAGGACTTAATGCCTATTGGCTTACAAATAATTTGATTGAACAGTGGAAAGCTTTTGATTTGACCATTGATGTTATAAAAGCTTTCACTTATGAGAAGTGATCAAACTCCTTTTTAGAAAAGAGCTACGACGGTCAGTATCGGAGAAAGTCTCAGATATTGTTGCTGAGGAGCAAGGTAGTTCAAGATTACCGCTTCCGTCGGATTCGTCTTCAGTGTCTACAACTACAACTACTCGTACGGTCAGTTCAAAAAAAGTTTTCCCACGTTTTTCTTCTGCTTTTAGTACCCTAGACATTTTGCGGATTTTTAATAATTTTAGTATACATCACACTTTTTTTGGTTCGCCAAACTTTCATGTCGGCACGAATGAACTGTTTCTTGCTTTCTTTTAGCTTGTACGACTTACTGTAACAGGAACTATTACCCCCACAAACCGTCATCAAAACTTACGGTTGTTAAGAAAGGATCTTTCACCTTAAGCACTCGATTTCAGCGCTCTTCTACACGAACTCCACATCGCCATCATCACACATTTACCAGGCAAGATGCCATTCGTGCTTTGGAACGAGGGCGCCTCGCTCAAGATCGTCTACGCGCAGAACGTCTCGCTGCTAGGAGGGAAGCTATAAATGCTCTGCGGAGAAGGCGCCAGGCAATCCAAGATGCGAATAAGTTTAATATGGTCAGTTATTTTTCTGTGTATACTTTGCTTCCTTCGGACTACCGGGTACTTCCTGTGGTTATCAAAAACCACTACTTTGTACATTCTCAGCAGCACGGTTGGATTTACTAGTAACTAGTGTCCCTTTGAGTTGTCCTGGAGTGTGAAGGAAACAGGAATTTAGGAAAAAACGAGGTTAAAAAAGTGTTTCTCAAAAAGCGGAGTAAAGGTTTGGTGTGTATAAAATAGCTATGGTGAGTTCTTTTCTACTCTGCGGCTTTGTTATGAAAAATCAGTAAATACTTTCTAAAAGCTTTATCATCCAATCCGAATCAACAAAGAAAAATGGAATGAAATATTCAGGCAAATCCTACGAGTCGTTGAGATCAAGAAGGAAGAATGCTCACTCAAGTATGTACTCATTTACAATTACTGATAAAATCTTACAATACGAAAACATGTAAATTTATTCGTTAGTTGTTTCTTTATGTCCGATTTATATTTCATCTCAAAACGAACAATTCGTGGTATCCTCTGTCTTTCAACATCGAGTGAAGTCACACTGATAAGTTTCTGCTTGTCTTTTGTAATTTTTCCGCGAAAATATTCGGGCCAAAGTTCAGTTCTGAGATGAAATAAATTACTGAGGCTAGTTTCACTGGTATCTGCCACCAAGTTAAGCTAGTAATTAAGAATACTCGATCGATAACGGTAAACTTTAAAATCGATTTTTCCTTTTCTAGTTTTCACATGTGTATCTAACTCGTCCGCCGTAGTTGATTCGCCGTGGCGGCTTTTCGCAAACGTCGAACGTTATCTTCAGACATGAGATTTCGTTCTCATATAGCAGCCACGGTAGGTAGTCGTCTCTGAAAAATTGTATTGATTGATGTATTGTGATCTCATCGTTATTACTAGGTGAAATTATCCTTACCAAGGGCTTTCGTACTGATTACGACCAAACTTTTGTACTTTAGATGTCTATGGTTATTATAGAAATGGTATTGAATATGAATAAAAATTTCGTAATTCCTCTCACAGAGAACTTCCGACTATCAATGTGAAAAAGAAAAAGTTTTCCACTAAGTTTGGCTGAGGATTCAGAATGGCATTTGAAACTCAGGCGTTTTGGAAAAGTTGAAGAAAATAAACATACTTATGCCAGATATTCTTTCTGTATTCGATATACCACTGGCTGAACTTGTCAAATTGACCGTTGTTTACGTCCCATGTACGGCGTCGTTCTTCAAGTTCTCTGAAATAAACAAATGATCTTTACCGTTATAAACAGAGTAATTTACTGCTGCTATGTGTTAAACTAACTTCGCTACGGTTTGTTCTATCTGCGCCTCCTTCAACAATCGCTTTCGTTCCACGGCACCAGTAGCATTGAATGCTAATCGAATTTTAGCGATTACTGAGCCCTGGAAATTCCTTCATTCAAGTGGTTGTTTAGAAAAAATACATTTTTCAGGAGAAATAAGCTAGATGACTTACATAGCCAACTTGCTGCAACGTTGCCAAGGCACCTCTATAGTCACCTTTGTCTCCTTGCAAGAAATCCATCTCACAATCGCCATCAGAATCGAATGCGGCCCAATCATTGAAGCAAAATTCCTGCATGGATCCTCATAAGAACTGAGAATGCTCGCAGTTGCCTAGGTATTTTGCCATACCTTTCTGAATGTATAGTAACCTGGTCGTTTCGGACATTTGATTCCTCGCAGTTGGTTTGCTATTGAATCCATGTCCGTATCACCTTGATCGATCTCGGTTAATGAGTGGCAGACATCGCAGTAGTAACTGAAAAACAATTTGAGGGCCCAAAGTTTTTGCTGTAAGCAGCCTTAATAGCCCCAACCCTTCTTCAGAGCCTTAGTTATTAAGCGATAAGTAATTTTACTTAAGGATTGTCTTTCAATAAGTGATTTTATTTGGAGATTGTCTTTCATTCGCTAACTAAGCAGTCCACTACCCTTGAAAAGCCGAAGCAGCCGGCTGCAAATGCACGAAATAGGAAGGCAGCCTAGCATGGCTAGTAACTGACCATGTCTCTAGGTCGCATTAGTCTCTTTAAGTTCAATGTCGTTTACTGGAATTGTTCAGTAATGTATCAATGGTGGGCCTCACCAATTATTTCCGTAACCACCGCATCCATTATTCGATGCATTTTGACATTTCAAATTTGAAAAGTCCTTCACATTCCACCATTGATACTCGGCCTTGGCGAAGAATGAATTGCCGATCGCATCGGAATCGTCTTTAACCTAAAAATAGTACTTTGGCTTGAAGAATTGAATTTCCCGAAGATATCAGCAAGATATCAGCAAGAAAAGAGAGAAAAGACAGAGTGATACGAACAGCGTTGACGTGAACGCAGACAGCTACCGTAGGGAGCGATACAAAGATGACAAGGGGTGAAAATTGCGGTAACGGGACAAATTGGATGAAGTGTTCGGCCCTGATCACCGCTTATCCCTCGCGGAGGGGGGTGAAGGCTTTACCAGGTAGCCCCTTTTATACGAGGCTCTTCCCTGTACACCCACAGAAAAGACAATCTTACCCGTAAGTTTTTGATTTCAAGTGTGAAGCAGCCGGGAAGTCGAACGACGTCTGGTTTGATACGAATCTGACCAGGGTTGATCTCGAGTACCCGTTTGGCTCCCGGACGAGCTGAAACCGATACTTTTTGAGACAAAACACAATAGCACCCTCTGTTTTTTTTTTTCAAGCTATGGGTTTCCTTTAAAATGACTATTGGAGCAGTCTCAACCAGTACTACTAGCAGAATAAAATTTGATTGAGGGGAGCTAATTCTCTTAATCCTTTCCCATCCTTCAAGTGGAGGAGGTTCAGGAGAATACTGAATTCAATTTGATTGTTCTTTAAGAACATAAGAGTAGCCTGATAGCATGCTTGTATTCTGCGATTGTCAATGGAAACCGGGTACTCGGTGATTTTCTCCAAATGCTCCCTCTAGGTCATTCGAGTACTGCTGACTTATGAACTTGTACATCAAATTATCGACCTGGTTCCAGTACAGGGCTTTGGCTGAACTTGCTGAGCGTATGTCACGGCAATGTATTGGAAATAATGTTGTGCTTTCATTGATCATCGAAGTGAACGACCACTATGAGGTGATTTGCCATTGCGGAACTAGATCTCCCTCTCTATCTGTTGCGATCTTAACCACCAATTTCAGAACATTTCATATCCTACATCTGAAGACGAGTGGTTCTGGCGCTAGCCAAAGGGGCATCTGCGGATTATAGTCGAAGACTTACCGAAAATGAATAAATATTAATCAAACTCACTGCAGGATGCATCAGCTCGTCCTGGTATCAACCAAACATCTTGATAATTACAACTATTTTTCAATTTGTGTCGAAGTGCAGAACGTTTTCCTCCAGATCTCAAAATTCACAAAANAAAATTCTAAAAATTGAGAAAAAAAACTCGGTAAAGATGAGTTCGTGTTAAGGATGTGGGCGAGCCATTACCGGATTAATACAGTCTCCTCACTGTCAGAGGCAACTGAGTTGGTCGTTAGCGGGTGTGGTGCAGTAGGGACGAAATTGTCGCGTCGCGGCGAGAAACGTCGCGCGCGAAGGAATGTAGCAGAATGCAGCAGCAAGTGAAAAAGACAGGAACAGAAGAACTAACAGCGAATCATGCCAAAAGCAATAATTGCATAGCGATTGAGCTGTATGAAGAACGCTAGAGCTCTCATAAAGAGGCAGATGGTCCGCGACAACCGCGCGCGGCGGATCGGTTGCACAAAACCGTTCCGTTCCTACAGCCCGTCTTCCGTCGTTAGCTGTTTCGGATTGGCTAGTCGTCAAGGATTGCCCCGCCCACAATCCACAGCGCGAACTATCTACTTCGGACAAGGAAATGATGTGATCCTTACCTATATAATGCTCTACATTCCGGATCTAATATATCACAGTTTAGTTGGCAATGTACATAAGATATTAAAGCTGATAGGCCTAACAACCATTGCATCTGAAATCTGATCTGTTCACTGTTCAATCAATTTATGGATTGTTTACCACAGAATCTAGTTGAGAACGACACATAGAAAATATGAGATCCTAAAAATTCGAACAGAAAAAACTGAGAAACTATGGAAAATACGACACCGAAGAGCAAAAGCTCAAAATCACAGATGGAGCAAGAAAACAAATAGCTAGCAACATGGGAAAAGCTGGCAACATGGAAAAGCAACATGGAATATGGGGTGTACAGAAAAAAAGAAAAGCAAGAAAGAGAGAGCACAGCTCTGTATCCGCGACGATATATATGGCTTCTCAGGACGTCGTCGGAGAGTCGGAAAGTAATGAAAGGAAGTAGGTGAGGAGCACTTGGTTTAGTCATCGTGAGCTTTTTGGCAGGAGATACTAATCGAATATTCATGCATCAAGAGGAGAAAGGATTTTATTCAGAACATCTGAGTAGTGATCGACGGTAGGAATCATTTCTCTTGCTATTGATTCATTTCATTCCCAATCAATTCCTATCTCTGATCTGAAGAAATCTTTTTGTACCATATACTGAAAGATGCTGCTGTTCTTTACCAATCATTTAAAGACACAGGCTACGATAAAAATGCTTTCTGAGATTCCCCCACAGGATGAATTTGAGGTCCCCGCGTACACCATATCTGGCACTATTATGTCGGAAAACGGCCTAGTTAGGGAGTTATAAAGGCTCAAAGACTGATCCGTGTGTATCCTCGTACGAGTTTCACCGGCATAGTAGAGCCTGCACCGTACACCAGGGAACCCATGTAGAAAGTTCAAATAACTTGTCATGACCCCTAGCGTCAGCAAAATAGAGTTCTGTACAGTTACAATAACTGAAATCTCGTCCGAATGCAACTTCCTCGTTATTTCCGTCTTGGCAATACCGTCCAACCTCTATTTTCCCTACTTTTGAAGAGTCAGATTTTTCTCGAGATTGGCGAATTCTCTCGCTTTCTTCATTACCGATGGACTATTCCCAATCAATACTTCCGCTTTTGGAATAAAAACGGGTACCTCAAAATTACCGTGAATTGTGCCTTTAAAAGTAATGGATCATGCATAAACCAACCCTTTTCAACATCTCGATCCATCCAACTGTTAAATAAGATGTAGCAGACAACATAGCATATTAGACAAACATAACATAATAGATGTTATAAATAAGAAGAAGACCTGATTAGAGAAAAACTGGTTATTTGTTGATGGCGCAATTATTTTTCTTTCACTTAGAACTGAAGCTAAGGGCAACATTCAGTGTTCTCTAATCACGTCCAAAACTGGACAGAAGTGCAGGTCAGACCGTGTTCTTTAGAGGAACTTTGGATTGGTACGGAACGAATGATCAATCACCTTATTATAATCACCTTTTCATGGGCAGAAAAATCTATATATCGATTGTTATATTGACCATTGTTATCTGATATTTGCTCCGCTTGTTGCTTGTAAATGCGCCGTTTGTTGACAGTAACCATTATCACAGTACTACTGAATGAAACAAACAAAAAAAGCAGGACATCTATTTTTACAAGTATAGCGGGGCATGTGATGTGTTCACAGACCACATCGCCTTTCGTGACGTTGCCCACACACTGTTTTGTTTGGACCGGATTGATAATGAACATTTTTATTAATTAGTATATTAACGATGAAAAATCTATAGGAATTGGGCATGCATAATAGGCCAGTTGGATGTGAGGCCAATGACAGCGTCCAGAAGAAACTGACTCAGTTTTGTGGCTCAAACCATTACCCACTTGGGAGGGGGAACAGGGGAGGAGGTGACAGTTTTGTAGTCTACTATGATAACTTTATAACCACTATATCCTTAACGGTTGTAGTTTTAAGTGTCATAAATACCGTGGTCGAACATCAATCAACCAGTGCAACGGCAACGAAGCTATAGATTTGTATACTGGAGTATACTTTGTTATGCTTGTTGCAGGGTAAGTAAAAAAAGCAATGCATGAATACTATCGAAGAGAGAAGGCGATACAAACCGCCCAAAGAGGGGCGTTGCAAACGGGAATGGGCGGAGCTTGACCGAAGCATAGATAGCTTGAGTAAGCTTGACAACTAGGTAGTGACGTTTTCATAACCCTCATTAGCCTCTTATCAATCTAGCCATCTTGCAGATACAAAAAACTGCAAAAACTATGACAGTAAATAATTGGGCGGACTGATGACGTCACTAACTAAAAATAATTCCCCTAAATAGATTTGAATACCCTGAATGCATTCTGATAATCGATTCCAGATCCCTACGGGATCAACAGATCCGAAATTAAACGGAGAGCGGGTAATTCCAGAGAGTTCCCGATCAATCCGATCTGGTACCGATCAATAGAGACACAGAGGAACGCGCGGAAAAAAACTTCTCGCAACTGGCTGGTAAAGAAGGCGTGAAGGCACCCACCCAGACCAGTTCAGCGCCTTAATCGATAGTATCTATACGAGCCATTCCCATATAAGGAGTTGAGGAGTGATGTTTTGCTTCGAAAAGGAGCACAGTAGTGCTGTTTCTCAGAAAGCTTTCAAAAACCGACTTTGGACGATGATGGAATTTGGTGCAGTAAGGCACATGGACTCATCTGTTTTCAACTTTCGGTAGAATGAGAGAATCTCTCGAAGTTCGTTGCTGTGAGCTGTTCATCTACTAGCTACATCCACACTACATTTTAGCAGCCCCTGATTTTCCAACTAGTCCCTTTGTCAAACATAATTACTACCTTGAAAGGATAGTTTTGGGCGAAACTTTGGCTTGGACGCATTCTTAACTACGAATTTTCTATGAGATAAAAAGCACGATGTCAGGAGACTACAAAAACAGTTCAAATCCCACCCGGGGCCAAAGTTTTGCTAGCAACTCGCCATCTTTGTGAGCCCTTCGCATTTCGTACTGCAGCGAAATAACAGCAGTCAACAAAACATCAGGCCTTCCAACTCCCCTATACTCTCCGATTTTCCAAAAACGTGCCATGAGGTAGAGGGAAAACCATGGTTCCGGGGCGGCACGCTGTTTCTAAAAAAAACGTCTTAATGGATGCTGCTAAAACTGAAAAAAAGGAACTTCATGGTGGACTTGACATAAATCAGAGCCATAGAAGGCCAGACAGAAAGGGCATGGGCATGTTATCGGTACGAAAAGGTCTATAAAAAATGACAGACTGTATAAACGTAAGCAAACAGGCAATGTGCTGAACTAAACAGAACAGAATGAAAACAGTGGCACAGATCAATCACCATCATGGCGATGCTGTTGATCTGCGTTTTATTGATCTCGTGGATTTGCAACTGACATTCGCCTCAACTATTTCATGCCAGAAACAAGTCTTCTGCAACCGCAAAAAAGTTGTTCGAACGTTTTCCGGTCGTAAACAGTCCCATTTATAAGGATAATGAATAACATCATGGCATTTTCTGTGATCAATAACTCTCCCGGTAATCGATTGGTCTGAACAAACGATCAATCGATATTAACTGTCTGACTAGTTCACCTAGAAGAATTATCCACATCAACATCAGATATGTATTGCCCTTCTTGCCTGGGAGCTCCCTTCAAAATTATTCGAGCCCACGGGAGCAGACGATTTCCATGGTTTTTGGTTTCAACCTCTCTTAAAGAAGGAAAGCGCATTCATGATAAAAATGGTTTCTAAGATTCCCCCATAGGGTGAATTTGAGGTCTACACGCGTACCATATTTGGCGCTATTAGGTTGAGAAACGTCCTAGTCAGGGAGGTATAAAGGCTCGAAGATTGAAACGTGTGCATCCTCGGACGAGTTTCACTGGCACTGCAAAGGGTGCACCGATCACGAGGGAACCACGTAGGAAATTCAAACAACTTTTCATGACCCATAGTGAAAGTGAAAGGCAGTTCTGTACAGTTTTGGCTAATCAGTTTTTTGCACATTTGCAGTATTTGAAATCTCGTCCGAATATCCCTTCGATGTTATTTCCGTCATGGCAATCGCAGAGGCGCAGAGAAGTATAGGTAGCCGATTTTACTTACGCTTAGAGAGAGTTCATAGCCAAAGAAGTATAGTTTTCGCTTAAGCGTTAGGAGGGGAGGAGCAGCTGGGTGGCTGAGATGATTGCCTCGTGCATAAACCTGGGATGGGGTAAGGATCGAACATTCACCCTCCCCGGTGCTCATTCTCCTCTAGGGCTCAAGTAGAATAAACTACATTACATGGAACTAACTTTTCTAGTCACCATTAAAGGTTCCCGCAATCAAAACCACTCCTTCTCTTCACTCTAGTGTTGGAACAAGGCGGTGCTCCTACTTTTGACGAGGCAGACCTGTGCTGTGCTGTGCTTTTGACTTCTAACATTATTATACCAGAAT